GGATAGTTAGCTAAGTTTACATTCTGGAGCCAGACTTTCCAAGTCCAGATCGTGGCTCTGCAACTTTGTGGCTTTGGGTGAGTCACAGCGTGCCTCAGTTTCCCCATCTTTACAAGGTAGGGTTACATGTCAGGTACATAGCCAGCGCTTTATAAGCGTGAACTGTTTTAGTGTTTTGTTTTTTGAGCCTTGATCCTGTGAGAATGTGTATTTCACGACCTCAGATCTTTAAGAGAGTTTCAGGAGCATTTGAGAGGTTCCGAAAGAGGAGGCAATTTGCCCTGGTGGCACAGCTAGGGCTCGGTGAGACCTGGCATGAGGCTCAGACCCCTCTGACTCCAGAGCTCATCGTGCTTTGTAGTGATGGTCTTGAAACTGGAGTACCTGAAGACTTTTCAAGGGATACATGACCCAGATAATTTTTAAGGGAGGCAGTTCCAGATCTGCTACAGCTGTGTTCCCTGTTCTAAAATTATCAGCTACACATCACATCTCGGAGGGGAGCATCATATGGTTGTCCTTTCCTGGCCCTTTCTCACAGTCCGCCAGTTTTTACAGAAAAACCAAGCCCCTCACTAGGGTGTGTGGTCCCCCCGGATGTAAAGACTTCTGGAGAGTCAGGCAGAGTGACCGCTTGAAATTTCAGCCTTACCTAATTCACTTTTAATTTCAAGCGGTCACTCTGCCAGCCGGCGCTGGAATCATGTTGGTAGGGTATCCACTATGACCCAAGGTCCCCAGGCAGACAGAGGTAACTCCCGGCAGCCATAATATTCCAAAGGCCCAGAGATGACCTCCCAGAAGCTGAGAGCAGAGGCCATCCGTACCTTGGGACAAGGCTAAATTCTTTTCTATGCAATATCTTTTCAACAATTCCAGATGATTCCAATCCACAGCAAAGGCCGGGAACCACTACTGGGTAATAATTCAGTCCCAAAGGAAAACTGTGAACGCTTAGAGCTTTATGGTCACAGGAAAAAAATTTTTAATTTCTTTTTCTTCTTCCTTTTTTTCTTTTTTTGTTTTTTGTTTGTTTTGTTTTTGAGAGAAAAAGAGCAAGTCCAAGTAGGAGAGAGCAGAGGGAGACGCAGAATCTTAAGCAGGCTTCACACCCAGCACGAAGCTGGGCACGGGGCTCGATCTCACAACCGTGAGATCCTGACCTGAGCCAAAACCAAGAGTCGGATGCTTAATCGACTAAGCCACCCAGGTGCCCCTCCCCCCCATTAATTTCTATTCACATATACATTTTGGTCTGCGGTTGGCATAGAGCAGTGTGAAAGGGCAACCAAAAAGTCAGGAGAAAATAAAAATGTCACCATCACATGAGGACAAAATTGTGTGGCAGATGGAGAGCGGACGTCTCATTTTAAGAACAATGTGAAGTCTCTGAAGGAAGAAACTTATTTGTATTTTTTTTAGTTTTTTGAATGTTTATTTTTGAGAGAAGGGGGGGCGCAGAGATAGGGAGATACAGAATCTGCCGCAGGCTCCAGGCTCTGAGCTGTCGGCACAGAGCCCGACGCGGGATTGGAGCCCACGAGCTGCGAGATCACGCCCAGCCGACTGAGCCACCCAGGCGCCCCTTATTTGTGTATTTTTGTAGTCCGTTACCCCTAAGTTGTAAACTTTGACTTCTAGCATCAAAAGGGTACATATTTTATTTTATTTTTTTAAGTGTACATATTTTAGGTGTGCAGCTCAGTGAGTTATCACAAAATGAACACATCCGTGTTACCAGCCCCTTTCCCATCACTACACACCTGAGAGTAGTTGCCGTCCTGAATTCTGTTAGAATAGGTAAGTTTTGTCCATTTTTGTACTCTGGACAGAGAGAGTCCTATGGCATATAATTTGTATCTGGCTTCTTCTTTTTTTTTTTTTTTTT